AAAATAAAATAAAATATCCTCAGAAAACACTGGAAACTCGTGTTGTTCTATGACACCTTACAAACACGTCGTTAGTCAAAAACAAAAAAATCCCACTAACTTCTTGGTGTCATATCTGATTGCCAGAGATTAGCGGACTAAACTTCTGCAATATTTATCTATAACAAGGGATAATGTAACTACTGTGTGAGGGTTATTGTGAAGATTTAATGAGAATAAGCAGGGGGTAAGCAAATTATGGCTGCTGAGCTAAATCTGGTCCACCATCTATTTTTTTAGGCCACAACGTAAGAATGGCTTTTACATTTAAAAAAAAAAATTTTAATCAAAAGAATAGTAATATTTCACGATGTGAAAATTGTGTAAAATTCAAATTTCAGAGTCCATAACTGAGGTGATACTGGAACACAGCAACACTCGTTCATTTTGTGTTGTCTAGGCTGCGTCCGCACTACAACAGCAGAGTCGAATAGTTGTAGCAGAGACCTCATGGCCTGCAAAGCCTGAAATATTTACTTTGTGGCCCTCCCCAGATGAAGTTTGTTGACCTCTGAAATAAGCATGAGGCTTGGCACATAGTAGGGGCTCAATAAATGATATTCATTGACATAAATACAGCCTTGGCATATTAATAACTATTATATGGACTAAAAATGTTTGGTCCTCCAAGTGCTGGTCAGGTCTCCAATAACATAGTGTGGAGACTCAGCTCAACAGAACAGCCAGGCCATGCGGGGCCCCTAAAAGCCTTTCTCCATCCCTCCCCCGCTACACCAGGACTTGCCCCTACTCATGTTCTGCCCTGCAGAGAAGGTGGAGGGGCATCTTCCGTGCACCTCATCTGTGGCTTTCCATGCTGGTTTAGATCATTGCTCAGAACCCCTCCCTCCCTCTCCCACCATCTCCACGGATGGAACGTACCTTGAGAACAGCCACATGACTTGCCTTGGAACGGAACATGAGCAAACATATCATGACCTACTGGAGTCCTCGCTTTCAGAGTATTCATTCTAGACCTCAGTTACAAGAGGAGCAAAAGTTGTTAGAACTAGAAATAATCTATTAATGAACTGGCCACCTATGAACTCAATCTCCAGTTCAAACTTTCCTCACCATTGGGGCCATTCCTGCCCATCAGATCAGAACCTTCATCATCTCTCTCAACTGACCAACGTTTCTGCCTGGTTGGACCCAAGTTCAACCCTGCCAGCCCAGATGTCTGCAGCCCACCCAGTTGCTGAGGTTACATTTTTAGGTCTGCAAGAATACTGAAATGGATAATTCACAAATATTAAGCCTCAGTTAAATGTATTCTTTCTGCCAGCCACATGGAAAGGAAAAGCTCTGGTGAAAACATAAAACGCAGTCAGCTGGGGTTACAGCTCATTTTTGCATGGGATCAGCTTCAGATTCTCATCTAGAATAGACTACTTCCAAATCCACATGTTTAAAAGTGAGGAAAGAAAAGAAATTGGGTTCATAGTCATTTCAGCAGTGAATGGTCTATGGACCCCCTTGACACTCTCTCGAGACCCCTAGTGTCCCAGCCTCTAGGTAATTTTAAAAGAAAAACAGGTTGGAGGAATGTGTTACCATCATTTATCGACCCACTGGAGGAGGTCTCACACATCACTCCAGTTCGGTTTCCTACTGGGTGGGGCGTATGCTCACCGTCATTCTCTAATAGCAAAAAGAAAGGCTTCATGTCATCAAAGAACAGGGAATTCTGCTCTGAAAGGACATTGCCTCTGAAGATTCCACACCACTAGAATTCTTGGCTCAGTTACGTAATGAAATTATCCAAATGCTTTCTACTAACGCCACCCACTGATCAGACTTCCTTCATTCCTGGTTCATTTTTTAATAATGTTTTAAACTTTGTTTGTTTTAAAAAAAACTTTTAATGTAAATATTCAAAGCTAATTCAAGTCTTATTTTAAAGTTACCTCTTGGGGAGGGGAGGAGCTGCTTCTTTGCCAAGGGCACTTTGGTTGCTATTTTCTATTTATAAGAAAGAGTATATTTCCATGTCTGAGCAGTTAGACAGGCATAAATGAATAAATTAGCATTTGCCTACATTTAAATTTCAAAATCTAAACTACTGGACAACTGACTCTTGATTGATTTATTATTGCTCAGAGTTATTGTTTGCCAACTGAAGCCAAATGTTATGGTAAAGGACAAATTACTAACCAAAAAAATGATGCCTCGGTGCCCTGGTTTTGGAGCTCAGAACTCGTCCTGTGGGTCTCTTGCTTCTCCTGGAAGAAGTCTCTTTGACTTATTCCCTCACACTCAAGACTTGACTTTAGAGGATAGATAGGACTTGTAAGCTGAAGAAAGGGGAGTGAGCATGCCACACCAGAGAAACAGGTTGACCATAGTAGGAAACAGTAGGACTTAATAAGCACATTCCTTTGATGAAAATAAAAGGTGCTCAGTTTCAGCTCCATCCTCCCGTCATACATGGGAGAGTGAATAGTGGTCACAGAGCACAGGTTGAGGTGCTCCGTGGAGGTACTCATTAGAAGGAATTTCTTCCTTCCCACACTTGACTACATCCAGCCAGCTTCTTGAGGGTTTGTGTGAATGACTACCTCCCAGAGGGACTCGGACTAGGCCAAAAAGGTCAGCTTCCCACTTGAATGGACCTATCCCTGGGCCGCCACCACAAAGATATCTGACAGTTTTAAAGGTGGAATAGAAACTTTTCAAGGCTGACAGATTCAGTAACGGTTGGGGTAGGGGGTACTGTGTTTTTGTGATGTGTGTGTACGTGGTAGGGGGTGTGAGCATATGGGTCAGAAGAAATATCACTGTTATACTTGCCACTGTCCTGAGAGGGACAAGGCCGAGAAAGACTGCATCACTACTGAATTCCCTTAGGGAACAAAATTAACATAAGATTTTTTTAAGTGGAAAAGTGTTCAATTACACAGAAAGATAGAATTATATATAGAAAGAAATAAAAGAGTTTTGAGCACTTGGTATGTTTCCGACACTGTTCAAAGCACCTTATACGTATTAGCTCATGGATTAGCTCCTAACAACCATGTGAGGTAGGAGCTCTTACCCTTTTTTTTTTTTTTGCGGTACGCGGGCCTCTCACTGTTGTGGCCTCTCCCATTGCGGATGGAGCACAGGCTCGGGACGCGCAGGCTCAGCGGCCATGACTCACGGGCCTAGCCGCTCCGCGGCATGTGGGATCTTCCAGGACCGGGGCACGAACTCGTGTCCCCTGCATCGGCAGGCGGACTCTCAACCACTGCGCCACCAGGGAAGCCCTTACCCTTATTTTATAAATTTCTGAAACCGAGGTACAGAGTGGTGAAGTCAGTCACCAAGATCTCACAGTTTGCCAAATGGTGGAGCCAGGATGTGAATACAACAGTCTGACTTCAAAGCCCACGCTGGTGTGGAGATGGACTCATACATAATCTGAGTTTGACTGATAGATACAAACCATTGAGTTTCCCTCTGGCAACATCCTAACTCTGGAAATCATTCTACTTGGGTTACACATAGCTCTCTCCATCAGGCAAAGACTGAGTCCTCTACTCACTAAGGGCTTCTGCTATTTCTATCAAGTGTATATTTTGGAGGAAAAGTAAAATATTTTTTATAATAGATGGTCTTTTAAAAAATCTCTATTATGAGATCTTCAAACATCCCGAAGAGTAGAGGAACAGTACAATGAACTCCCGTATGCCCATCACCATCTACCCCTTCACAACCCATTTATCCCCGCTAGTCCCCTCCCCCCACCTATTCTGGCTTCTTTCTCCACGGCACCATGGAAACTCATCAAGGTTCCCAAAGACTTCTTTGAATCACAGGCCAGTGGATGTTTTCGAGCCTTTTTCAATGTCATTCTCCTGATCTATCTGAATCTCCTGACACTTTTGAGAAGATACTTCTAAGATCATATTAATAGGATAGCTACCATGCTTTGAGAACTTTCTCCGTGCCGGGCACAGTCCTGAGCACTTTTTATACATCATGTCATTTAATCTTCAAAACAATGTTGAGGTAGGTACTATTACGGTCTCCATTTTCAAAAGGAGGAAACAGACTGGTAAACATTCCTCATTTTGAGGAAACAAAATGAGGCATAAGGAGGCTAAATAGATTTGACTGAGATTGATGCTGAAAGCTCAACCTCTGTGCACCGGTGCCGAATCGAATCTTAGAGACAGAGTTTTGGGTGAAGTAGAAAAGAAGAGCTTTATTGCTTTGCCAGGCAAAGGGGGCCACAGCAGGCTCGTGCCTCTCAAAACTGTGTCTGCCCCGCCGCGCAGCCCGGGCGGGGGCGGGGGGGGGGGGGGGATTTAATGAGGGTCTTTATAGCAGTGGTCATGGGTGGGGTTTCTGATAAGATTAGGGTGTGTAAAGGCCTGCACTGCCTTAATCTCCTCTCAGGTGGTTGTCTCCTAATTTTAATGAGCTTCTCTGGCCCCTTTAATCTTTCTTTTTTTTTTTTTTCTGCGGTACGCGGGCCTCTCACTGCTGTGGCCTCTCCCGTTGCGGAGCACAGGCTCCGGACGTGCAGGCTCAGCGGCCATGGCTCACGGGCCCGGCTGCTCCGCCGCATGTGGGACCTTCCCGGACCGACCCGTGTCCCCTACATCGGCAGGCGGACTCTCAACCACTGCGCCACCAGGGAAGCCCATGGCCCCTTTAATCTCAGGTGGTTTCCTGGCTGCCACTCCCTTGATTAGCAACTGGTCTAATCTGCACTTTGGAACTCAGGGAAGGTCATGGAGGCTGGAGTCTTACCTCCAAGAAATGGGGGACAGAAAAGGCTTCTGGGCCCAGGAGCCCCACAGAGTCCTGCTTGGTTTCAAGATCACATAATTAGTAATGGCTAGAACCTGGACTGCAACTGAGGTCTGCCTGACTCTGAAGTTCATGCTGTTCACCACTACACCAGACCCTGAATCGCTCCCCTCCCTGGCTGTTAGTACATCACTCTCTCCTGGAGCTCCTTGTGTCTCTCTCACCTTCCTTCTCTGTCTCCTCTATGGGCTTATCTTCTTCATTCCATCTTCTAAATGTCAGTGTGCCCTTTGGCGCTGCCATCATGCACTTCTTCCTTATTTCTCTCTTATACTCCACGATCTGAAGGACCTCAATCATGGCAATGACACCCATATGCCAATGACCTCCAACCTATGATTCCAGCTCAAATATCTTGCAAAGATGCCAGTCCCAACATTCTCTTGACCGTCCCATAGGAGCCTCCACCTCAGCATGTTCATTCATCATCTTACCCTCAAAAGCTACTCCTCCTCCTGTGTTGCTGGATTAGAGAAATTGCATCATACAGATGTCCACCAAGTCCTATCAGTTCTGTCTCCAAAACATTTCTTGAACCTGCCCTTTTCTCTCTATCCTTGTTAGCTCAAGTCCACACCATTTTTTTCTTGGATTATGGCAAGTGCTGGATTATTGCCAGCCTTGAGTCCCCCAATCCATTCTCCAAAACTTTTTCAGGTTGATTTTTTTAAATACAGATCTTATAACATTACCTGTAAGCCATATAACATGATTCAAAATGGAGTAACACCTGTCAAGGGCCCCTATTAAGTCTCTTTCAGACACCCAAGAACTGGAAAATTACTGAAGACTGCAAGTCTATTCTCCGAAAAACCACATCCTATAGAGACACAGCCAGCCCAGGTACTGCTGTGGACCAGAGTAGACATCAACCCTGTGAAGCCCAGTAAAAGACTCAAATCCCCACCCTTGGGTGCCAACGCCGCTCTATGCATCTGGCCCCTTTCCTCTCTTGGGAAGTGAATAAAATCTCTTTTCCTCTTGCTAATATTTCTGTGAATTCTTTCACAACCCGCGTTGGCTCACCTAACATTACCTGCCTGTTTAAAATACTTCAACAACCTCACATAACCTTCCATATAAAATCCAAATTCCTTATTATGGCTTACAAGGTCCATTGTAGTCTAGACTGATTCTAGAATACCTGTCAGAATTGGACCTCACCACTACCCATTTGCCCTTAATTTTCTAGCTATGTTGTAACTCTCTGAAATGCTTCTTAGGTGCTTATAATCTTTCATATTTCCATATTCTTCTACATAATGTCTAGATTGTCCTTCCATTCATCCCCACCTCTGCCCCCTGCCACCATACACCAAAACAAGCTCACATCTTCTCTACTTGGCTAATCTAGCTTATCTTTCAAGACCTAGCTCAAGAGTCATCTTTAAGGACCTACTTTGACCGCCCTCTCTCCATCTCAGTCCAAGTTTGGGGTCTCTCCTTCATGGTCCCATAGCACTCTAGATTTCTGAGGCAGAAACCGTAAGTCGTCTACTCAGTGTCCTTTCTCCACTCTCCTCACTAACCGAGCTCCAATTCCGTACAGTGTACAAGGTGTCCATGTAAAAATACTCATCATCCGGGCTCCCTTGAGCTAAGAGTGAGCATGTGACCTACTTTGCTCAATGATATGGAAGTAGAATTTTATTGGGTGGGGCTTCCAGAAAGCTATGGTTTTCCTGATAAACACAGACTTAGCTGGCCAATGCCCTTGCCATTTACCCTTTTCCTGACCCCCTGCCTAGAACACAGGGCACCCAGAAGTAGAACAACCAGCTTGCATCTATGAGAATGGAAGCCAGACACTGAGGATGGAAGAGCAGGAAGTTGGATGGATCCTGGTGCTATTTGACTTGCTTGAGCTTGAGTGCCAGCCCTGGGCTGCCTTCCTCTGGTCTTCTCGTTACATGAGAAAAATGAACTTCCATTGGATTAAGCTACTACTGTTGAGTTTCTGTTATATGTAGCCCAACCCAGTTCTGGCTGATAAACTCTCCCTTTTTTCTTATCACTTGTCACATTGTATGTTAGTAGTTGCCTGTTGTCTAAGTCTACCACTACACAATAAGATTCATGAGCACATGGACTGTTTTATCAGACTCCTCTTCTGCCTTAGCTCATGTCTCCTGGCCCACTTTTTAGTTCAGCCTGGGCCACAGCAGCCAGCAGGAGAAAACGGACAGCATAGTCTCTCAGCTTCACCAGTATCTCTGGTTTTCTAGTGGGGGGCCTCGGCCTCTGCTAGGGGACCCCAGGAGTCACTCAGCCGTTCTGATTCTTACACAAACTTGGAAGTGGAGGGAGTTAACATCCCAAGGACAATCCTTATCCAAGGGATTGACTACTGCCCACTTCCATATCTCATGTGGGCAATTTTGAAGGGCATCCTACACAGCTTCTTAGAGGGTGCCCAGTGGGATTGAACCCTCATTGCCCACAGTGGTAAGTCAGTTCAGTAACGCTTTGTGTCCTTCCTATTTCGTTGTTTCCAGTTCCCACTCTTGTTTATTTCCCAAAATAAAACTTCTGCTTTTGGGGGGGAACCTGAGCTAAGACAGCTATGACTTAGTGTGGTGCCCAGTTCTTAACAGATATTTGTTCATGGATACATAACTGAATGAATGAACTTCTTTTCCAGTGACACTTCTTTGTGAGAACTGCTCTTTATTCCATCAAAACATCATAATCATTTGAAAAGACAGGAGTGCTCATAGGGGTGGAATTTAATAGCTACTAACTTCCACAGAAAATACTGGCCTCGGAGAGGGAGGGTATCACAACAGCAGCATCTACCCAGATTTCAGTCAGTGAGGATTCACATTTATTATGATCAACTAGATGGGGAAGCCCTGAATTATCAATATGAAATTTATTGTCCTAAATACAAGGACACTTAAGCACTAAGCCTTGGTTTATTGATGAATTGAACATTTAGGCAAATAAAAGAATTAAAATATTATTAAAAATTAAAAGATTGGGCTTCCCTGGTGGCGCAGCGGTTGAGAGTCCGCCTGCCGATGCAGGGGACGCGGGTTCGTGCCCCGGTCCGGGAAGATCCCACATGCCGCGGAGCGGCTGGGCCCGTGAGCCATGGCCGCTGAGCCTGCGCGTCTGGAGCCTGTGCTCCACGACGGGAGAGGCCACAGCAGTGAGAGGCCCGCGTACCACACACACACACAAAAAAAATTAAAAGGTTTGGTTAGGAAACCAACAACATCTATGAATATAAAATCATGTTTTTCCAAAAGATGTGACTCCAGTCCCAAAATAAATCATCAGATCTAAAACAGCTATAATAATGTTCCAACCAATGGTTTTAAATTATCATAAAATCAGGAGAAAAGTAAGTCGTTTTTAGGATAATAAGAAAATGTTAGCGATAAAGCATTATTAGAAAATACGGGACAACGTTCTGTTATCCTGGGCTTTGTTTTTAGATCAATGATTTGATAAAAATTCATGTGGCCCTTTCTGTTTATTTTTTAAAAAGAGAGAAAAACCGACCACAGCAAAATGCCTCTGGGTCTGTGCACAGTGCCTTAGAAATAACAATGTATTATGAAAGGATACAGCCTCAGCCCATCCAAAGAGCTCCTCCTACTGTTTATTCAAAATATAAAAGGAGTCTGAAGAGAGGAACACTCATTGAAGAACCGGAGCATGACAAAGTCAAGGAGTAGCGAGAGGGTCCAAGCTTCCAAGTCAGAGCTAGGTCTCCGATTCCTTGAGCAGGACGAGCCCAAGGCCAAACTCTGACATGGACAGAGCATCCCGGGATTCTCAGGGCCCTACCTCCCCATAAGCGGCCTTGTTGAGGAACTGTGCTCACCTGCAACTTTACAGGGGCTTTCTGGCAATAATATCTTAACTCCAAGAAATTCAGCTCTAATAGGAAAATAGCATAGGAGAGAGTCATGGGAGAGAATTTTTGAAAAAGACACCTCTTCCCATTGCTTCCAAGTACTCCTTCAAGGGCAGTCTCTTTACTCTGCACACATCATCTTTTTTTTTTTTTTGCGGTACGTGGGCTTCTCACTGCTGTGGCCTCTCCCGTTGCGGAGCACAGGCTCCGGATGCGCAAGACCAGCGCAGATGTCAAATTATAATGCTGTACACCTGAAACTTCAATAAAATTTAAAATCCTGGCATAATAAATCACCCATGTTCTCAAAAAGACCAAAGCCATGCCACGACAGAATGGACTCTCTTATAAGATGAACTTCTATCCCTGGAAAGGTTTGTGCAAATGTCGACATCTGGCTGCCCATCAAGAAGGCATAAGGTGGCAGTTCAGACTACCAGACCTTTACTGGCCCTTAAATCTAGAGAGAATATTATTCTAGGGCAACTCTGGGTTTCCACAGTAACACAGGTCCTCTGAGAAGGGAAGTGCAGCCATAAAAGGAAGTGCTGTTTAGTACTGTCTTTGTCTCCGTGGCTACATTGTCAGTTCTTTGAAGACAAACATTGAGTCTCATCCTCTTTGTCATCCTGGGCAAGGGCCTCACTCTGGTCAAGGTCACCTACAACCTTGAAGAGACAAATCTGAGGCCCATCTCTCTGTTCTCGTCTTACTGCATCTCTCAGCAGTGGTAGACACTTCCTCCCTAAAACCTCTTTTTCTTTTAGTTTCCATAACACCTCACCTCTCCAGCTTTCCACCCACCATGCTGGCTCTTCCTCCTTTTCCCAACCTCTCTATTGGTGTGACCTAGGACGCAGTTCTTGACCATCTTCTCTCAGATCTATACTCTCCCCTGGGATCAGCTGGTCCAGTCTCTGGTCTTCAAATACCATCTATAGGCAAATGATGCCCAAATTTATATCTGCAGCTCTGACTTATCTGATCTCAGTGTTTTGATGTCCAATAAGCATCTGAAACTAACCAAGTTCAAATCAAACTCTTAATTTCCACCCTCTACAACTCTTCTTTCCCACCTCAGTAGGTTGCTCAGGACAAATACCTCTTTTTCCTTCACGCCCGCATCTAATCCATCAACATATCCTATTGTCTCTTTCTCCAAAATATATTTTGTTATCAACCACTTCTATTTCCACCTGAGTCCTAAGCCCCTGGACGTACCTGAAATAGCCCAAAGTGTCTTCCTGATCCCATTCTTGCCATTTTCACAGTCATTCTTCTAGCTAGAATGATTTTTTAACCCTTCAACAGCTTCTGACTACACATGGAATAAAATCCAAACTCCTCACCAGAGCCTTACAAGATCCCTCATAGCCCAGTGCCTGCCTGCCCCTCCTTCCCCATCTTCCATTCTCCCTCCCTTGCTCACTAGGCTCCAGCTACAAGAGCT